CTGGCCCACTTGCCTCAGACCTCCCCAAACCTCCTTCACCCCCTGAGGCATCCTGTGCTCCTCTTTCCCCCTCTGAGTCCCAAATAGGTCCTGGGCCTGCTAACCAGATTCCCATGGGTACTCTGTAGGCCAGGGGACTTCAAACTTGGCCCTTTTATGACTTGAGGACTTCAACTCCCAGAATTCCTCAGCCAGGCACACTGGCTGAGGAATTCTGGGAGTTGAAGTCCACAAGTCATAAAAGGGCCAAGTTTGAAGACCCCTGCTGTAGACTGTGTGGTGCCATCCCAGAAGCAGCTGCAATTTCAGAGTTCATTGCGGTTGCTCCAAAAAATGGCCCCTACTTCCTGTATGGAGCCACATGGCCTAAGGATGGCGAGGGGCAGAGTGACCTGTTCTTCTTCCCCAGCGTGATCTCCAAGGCTTCCAGAAGGAGAGCTACAGTAAAAGGTAAGTGATCGGAGATGGGGAGGAAGGTGTGGGACTTGGCAAGGTGGGTCCCTGCAGTTAGTCGAAAGGGTGAATCCACCGAAATGTTGTTCACATGACTGTGGGGGTGCTGCAGCGACCCTAACTTCAAAACCGAGTCGTAAGTATCTTTTTGGGAGGTGGGTGTAACTTTGAACAGTCACTAAAGGCCAGTCCTAAGTCAAGGACTACCTGTACTGAAAGAAATCATTTGCATTCAACTCCATGTTTGTTTATATTTTATGGGGGGGGGGGGGAAGCAAAGCTTTTCATTGTCTTATTTGATATTCACATTAAAGCTCATCTCCATAACTGATGAGTTCCAAGTTTGCAGGTATGAGTGATGAGTCCCCTAGAGGTTTATCAAGGATGGATGGCAGTGGAAATGCAATCTGAGAATTTAAAAAATGTGGGGGAAGAAGGGAAGAGACAAAAATCAATACGTACTGAGATTTTAATTTTATTTTATTGTATTACTTTTGTTCCTGGACCGCAGCAACAAATGCAGTTGACCCCTGGTGGAGATCTTCACCACAGCCCTTTTTGGAAGCCTTCCAATACTTAACCATACATTATCATAAATTTATTTTATTATGACTATAAAATGGAAAGTCACATCAGGTGCTAATAAACCTTTGCGTTGTGTACTTAAACATCTTTCTGACAAAAATGGAAGGTCAAAGGACATTCTCATAAGATCAGCCTAATAAGCGATGATATTTCTGTTTGTATATATTTGATCCAAAGAGCTAAAATTAACATATTTTTCTACATTTTGAACTCTTGGTTATATATCACCTTCCTTTACAAATTTGTCACCCAAATATGGTTGGTAATCCCAAGATTTTTAAAGTAATGTTGTATTTTTATTTCTCCAGAAATAGTTGTTTTGAGTCTCCTCAGAGGTGATTTTTGAAATTCCCACAAGATTCAAAAGTAATTTGCTTTTTATAGCTAGGGACTTCCCCTACTCTGGTAATAGATAAATGAATTCCTCTTACCTTTTGATATATTTAATCCCTCTACACACGTTTGCTTGGGTTAAAAGCAACATTAGTTGAAGTGTGTGGTTTTTTATTACTCAAATTGTACAACTGCCTTATTTGTGCACGTGTGTATGTGCCATCTGAACAATTAAGAAATCTATATGAATTTAAATATGACCTTATATCCACATTTATGGAATAACATGGGAATATATTTTCCCAAACTATTTTCCAAAGCGCCTGGAGGCAGGACAAGAAGCAACGGGTGGAAACTAATCAAGGAGAGAAGCAATCTAGAACTAAGGAGAAACTTCCTGACAGTGAGAACAATTAACCAGTGGAACAACCTGCCTCCAGAAGCGGTGAATGCTCCAACACTGGAAGTTTTTAAGAAGAGACTGGACAGCCATTTGTCCGAA